ACTTTTATCGTCCACATTCTACAAATGGAAAAAGAAAACACAGAGAACTTAATACATTTCTCCACGGTTGGTTACACAGCTAGTAAGTGGTGCAAACCAGGCTTTAAATCTAACAATCTTATTCCCCCAGAGATGTCAACCACTATGCTACGCTGCCTCCCAAAACAAGTATAAAAGAACAACAGCAGAGTAATATTCCACGGGTGTTGACAACTGAAGACAAAGACAAGCATAGGACTAAAACTGAAAATAAAACTCGATACGAGCTTCCTAGCAACCAATTCTTAAAGAAAAAGGTGAGGAATTAACCTCAGTAGGGTGATCAACCATCCTGGCTAGCACAGGACTAAGGGGTCTCCCAGAACACAGGACTTTCAATGCAAAAGCTGAGGTGGCTGGATGCCCTACTGAAAAAGGCTTTATAATATTTTATTAGGCCTCACATAATTAAAAATATACAAAATCTTTATGGTGCTTTCAAACCTACATTGGCTCCTTCAGCACCTCCTCCCACCAACATTAAAAATACTAAACAATTTTCTCTACACTCTGCTTGGGAAAAATGAAGGGATTGTAGAAAAATGAAACACTGTTAATTGTTGGTTTCCAATCATCACATCTATCACTGTTTTCAAGAGTCTGGGTAAGAGGGGCATACAAATTCTTGGCTAAATTCTGCCCTATCAACTCCAGCTGTGCTTTCATTTTCTTTCCCAAGGTCATTTAAGATTACTTTCTTAAAAAAAAAAAAAAATCTTCCTTTAGATTTTGCCATTTGCAACAACAGGGATGGACCTAGAGGGTATTATGCTAAGTGCAATAAGTTAGACAGAAAAAGACAAACACCATACAATTTCGCTTCTATATATATGTGGAATCTAAAAAAACAAAACAGATGAATAAACAGACCAAAAAAAAAGCAGAAACAGACCCATAAATATAAGAATAAACTGGTGGTTGCCAGAGGGGAGGGAACTAAGGGGATGGGTAAAATGGATAAAGAGGGGTGGGAGGTCCAGGCTTCTGGTTATGGAATGGATAAGTCATGGAGATGAAAGGCATGGCACAGGGAATATAGTCAGTGGTATTTTAATGAAGTGTTGGATGGTGATAGATGGCAGCTACACTTGTGGTGAGCCCAGCAAAAGGTACAGACTTGTCCAATCACTATGCTGTACACCTGAAACTAAAGTAACATTGTCTGTCAACTGTACTTCAATTAAAAAAAAAAAATCTTCCCTATGTCACAGGTAGAGATGCAGGCCAGTGGTTTTTTAGAAAGCTTGGTGGCAGCCTCGTCAGAACTCATGGGAGAAACCAAACCAAGACCAAGTAGTAAATCTCCTAACGTCACTTGAAACAATAGCTCTGAAATCGGTGATGAGCTTGATGAAGATGAGGACCAAGTTTTATGTATCTGTATTCCCCCTATAGCAACCCCTTGCAAATAAATGTTGTCTTAATTGCAATCTTAATCTCAGTATGTCAGAGCTAAAAAGATCCACAACTGTCATTCAGTGCAAATGTGTACAAATGAGTATACATGGAGCATGGAGAAGAGAAGTCAATTGCCCAAGGTGGGTCACAAAATTGACGTGAGACTAACTGAATTAAATGAGAAGTGAGCTATTCCTTAATTAAGGCAAGAAAACCCCACTAGGTTCTGTGAAAGAAAACCATGGATCACTTAAGGGGCCAGGATTGTAATTCCAATTCAGGTGATCCATTATGGGACGTAAGTAAAAAAGGAAAGGAAACATTTTAAGGATCCCATGTAAAATAATGAGCAACTCTTCAAGTGGAAAAGACAAAATATTTTTAGGGAGAGGAACAAACCTCTGCCGTGATGTGTTGAGAACTTCAGGAAAACCGAAGAAATTTTAGACTAAATATTTTATGGATTTTTTCCAGCCAATTTAAGTTTCTATTTAGACTAAGTGCATTTTTTTTTTTTTTACTATAAAAGAAATATAACATGATCACATTTAACCAAGATACCTGAATGCCTAGTATGGGCCAGTCACTGTGCTAGGGCAGCAAACAAGGAAAAGTCAAGCCAATGGGAAGGTGAGCCAGCTACTTGACAATACACACACACCTTCATACAAACACTCAAAATGTTAATACAGAACAGAAAAATTCCAATGAGAATATCTCCAAATCTCAATCACAATATCTCATCTCAATGCACAGTCAAATCAGTGGATCAATCCATCCATCAATCAGTATTTCTGAACAGCTGTTACCTGCTCAATCACTGCTTTTAAGAAACAAATGGAACTGGAGGGTATTATGTTGAGCGAAATAAGTCAAACAGAGAAA